GTGAACTGGGGTAAAAGGCAATAACATAGCTTTGCAGAAATATACCAGAAACGAAGACACACTGAATTTCACGCATATACCTAATTTTCTCGTTTGTTAATATGACTTCAGGCGCATTAGTACGTATAAGTGAGCGTATATTGTCTTAGAGAAATGCGTCCGTTAGCATGAAATAACTCAGCTCTAAGAAAATAGATTTTTAATGAAGATGGTATATAAAATCATCATACCACATTAATTCCCTCGATACAACGTTGTCTCAGATAACAGAATGAAACGTGTTTCGCTTGAAGTGAGACCGTGGCTTATATTATACATTCTACTACTTATATACAAAACAATGTTAAAATTTATAATATTTTCATTTGTAAGATTTGAGGTTTTCACAGCGGTGAGTATGAAGATTTCTGTCTTCTGGGTTGTTGCGCTGTGTAGTCTGGTCGATGTTAACCAACGTTTCATCGCCCTGATGACGGAGGCAGTATGACCTCTGAAACGTTGGTTAACATCGACCAGACTACACAGCGCAACAACCCAGAAGACAGAAATCTTCATATTTCCATTTGTATCCTGCGTCTTATTTCAGTTTTAATTAAAATTTAGAATAATAAATATCTAGTCTCCACAAATTCTAATTAGGTTTTTAGCATACCTGGAGTAGCAGTGTTGATTTCCACTTATTTCTAGAAAGTTTGAATTACAGGCTTTAAAACTGGTGTGACTGTTCACTTCACCATTTACTCAAATACCTGCCAGTAATTTTAATTTGCAAAAAATGTTCAATATTTACACCCCAGCACACAGCGAGTTACTACCAAATAACTCTGTGGAGAATAATGTGATTTCAGTCAATTTCAGCAGCGATGCAAAGGAGCGAACACGCGTTGCCAAACAAACACAGTAAACAATATTACACTGAGTACAAAAACGTATGTTTTTTGAAGTTAATGGTTCATATACGTTAACATGTGGTGTCAAAGCTTTTTTCTTCTTTTGGTGGCGGGCTATTAGGTAAATGTTCAACGGATGTGTTTGGATTTACAGGCCACAGAAATTTAATTGAATCTAAAAATGTGACATTATGGTACAGAGATATTCCTTGTTGCATACGAGCAGATCTAAAAGCAAGTTAATTCTGTGATCAATCACTGTCCGTATTGATAATTAGCTGTTATTGCGTTGCCTGCATTTATGTACCTTCTGTGATCGGTGGTCAGTTCATTCAGAATTTTGCCTCTTCAAGCGCTGCCTTTATAATCGTATTTTCAGATTTGCTGAATTAGTTAAAACTGATAACGTACCGACTGACGTGTCAGTTTGTAGCTCTGAAAATCAGGGGATAAATTTTGTTAACGTAGGACCATTCTTCGATTCACTAACGAAGATTAACAAAAAATAAAACTTTGTAGACAGCCCAAAATCTTATAGAATCCACAAAAATAGCATTTGTGAAAATTACTGATTTACATTGCCAGGAAAATTACATGCTTTGGTAAGACTTCATGTTATTACTGAGGCGAGTATGAAGATAACTGTCCTCGGGACGACGTTTCAGAGGCTCTTACTGCTTCCATCATGAGTGTAACAAAAGAAAGTTTTTCATTACTTAGGGCTTGGTTTTGGCGCAACTATTTTATCGAGCAAAGTAGCCGAGATACACAAATTGCCCTGTCCGAGATTCAAACTCAGGACATTGTTTCCTCGAGTTTAAATTTTCAGATATTTTTTCGTGATCTCGTGGAATATGCGTGCTAATTTTGTGCAAATCGGTGTATCCGTTCTCGTGCAACAATCGAGCATATATACGCCTAATTTTCATTATATATGTATGTGTGTGTGTTTTCCTCAGAAGTAGAACAATATTTGGATCTGTTAATAATAACCAAGGTTTAGTCCACACATGCATACACTGTGTCCTTCTTACTCTCATATAGTATTTATGATCCACATATCTTTTATGTACAATGTTTGAGGTGAAAAGACGGGGAAATCAGACCTAATTTCGATAATTAACTGATTTCTCACAAATTTTTTTCTTCCTGTATTTTCTGATCGCCTGGATTCAGGGAGAATTTATCGTTATAAACATAAAGACGGAGCAGGGAAATAGGTCAATGGATAAATTGAAACTCTCCCCCACCCTCTCCGTTTATAGAGAAAAGTCGATCCGAAAATGGGCTCCTTTAATATAGGCAGCATCATAAAGATACGTCTAGTCTGTATAAACTCATACACCAGGAATTTGCTTGCTTTCAACGTTAAAAACTTACAGAGACGCTACTCCTAAACATAACGAAACACAGGGTTACTTCATAACAGTGACGAAATATTCCAATGCACTGGAAGTGACTACCACATTCAAATTAAGAGGTTAAATTTTAACGGTTCAGTACCTTCTACATCAACTACTAAATTTTACTGTCTCTGCTGTCGCCAGAACATCTATAGTTTTATGAGAGTGTTTTCAACTCCGCAGGAGGTTGGCAACTTAACCCTGGAGTAGAATAACCACAAAAAATGAGATCAGCAAACTCATTTGTCACTCACTGCAAATTCGGGTTGGGGGGACGGGGCCTGTTCTGTGAAACGTCTTTCTGCTATTTTCGTAATCTTCACAATACGTAATCCCAGTGACCAAACTTGCTGTCTATTTACCACGTGCCTAGTGCAGGGTTTGGTAACCGGCTTTATTAGTAATATCAAAAATGCACGAGTCCCTATATCTCTCTTAACTACAAACAACATTTTTTAAATCATTCATGAATAATATAACATATAATAGATAATATTAATATAAAAAGTAAAATGCCACACGCTACACGAAATGGTCACGGTTTTTTTTGGGGCGGGTACTCGTTCTTGACCTCACCACTAGATGGGGATGAGTGATAATAAGCGTCACTCCGCGGCTGGCTTCACTCTAGGGAAAGGACTACACGTATTAATTGGAAAGGAGACTGGGTGGATCTATACACACTTCTTGCTCGTGAATTCACCATGATCGCACCTGCCCAGCTCTTGCGCAAATGGCGTGAGCTGCGGCGTAGTAACAAGAGTGACCTTGATTCAAGTTGTCACGTGGAAGGATGGGAGAATACAACATGAGGGGGGGATAAACTTGCTTCCAATTTCACTCTTGTACCCTTTGTTTATGATTCTTGTTGAGCTGAATGCATCGGTCTTAGGCAGAACAGGGTTCTTGCTAGTTCTTATCATTAGGTCTATAGATTCTAAATTAATGTATTCAACAGTAGGCCCAGGAATAATTAATGATTTTATCTAACCACACTCTTAAAATATCTGAAGGCGGAGACACTGTCAATCCCCGATATATATATTATATATTTCCATCAAGACAAAAGATGACAGTGATAAAAGTTATAAAATTTAGAAGCGGCACACTTTTTTTATTAATGCTATTGATGATGTGTGTTGCATCTCGGCACGTTAAGGATTCAATAAATGAGCCAGTGGTTAAAACGCAGACATGAGAACTAAGCTCAAGATTATCTTATAATATCCTATTTTAGTACAGTCTAGAACAGAGTGTATAAATAGTAATCCATTTTAAACAAAACAGATAATTTAGTACCGTAACTAGTATTAGGTTTACACGGGTAAAACGTAATTATACCCGAGCAATATTATCATAAATAATGTAATATTCTCATTTTAATTCATTACATAGAATTATTACATCGCCATTAACATGATCTTGTACAATATATCTATATTAAAACAGAAATACATTATATAGCTAAACTCATTAATGTTTTCTAATATTTTAACTAATACTGAAATGTGTTGATATATTTATTCGAGTTATAACACGTAGACAGACAACCACGTCTAAGCATTTTTGTTACTTTTCTAATTGTGAATGCGTCCAAATTTAGGTTCAGCTCTATTGTTATGTATTATAGGAAAGAACTATTTTCTTATCTAGGCAGGAGAACGAGGAAACCGTCTTTTATTGCTGCACGAATAGCATCGATTTCTCGCACATACAGTGGGAAATATTCATGAATTATTGATAATGTGTTGGCGTATCGCTAGAGGGGGGGAAGGGTCAGGAGCAGGAGAGAATGAGGAAAATATGAAAGTGAGAGATAACAGTTAAGAGAGAGACAGAAAGTAAGCAAAGGCTGTATCGATCCTTGGAATTGCAGACACTCCATCAGAGCACACATAGAAAAGAATACGTGGAACAATTGTTTTATACTAACGTCCAGAAGCAAGCTCATTTTTAAAGAGAGTTTTACTAAGATTTCCCAAGTGAACTTGAACATTTAGTTTATTTATTTACGCATCTCAAATTTTTCATCACTTTTTCAAACGAATAAACAGGTTTTGGAGAAATGAAAAACAATCTAATATAAATTGTGAAGATGGAGAAACTACCTAAAATAACCTCTAAGTTTACAACAATTATCTGAGTATAATGCTTTTAATGTAGGCATCCATAAAATAAGCTAATTAGTAACTCAAATTACTGAGACATATTAATACCAAATTATGACACCTTATAATAACAAACCTGCTGTCATAAGAACTGTCATTAATTGTCTCGGCAGTGATGTAACAAAGCTTACGATGGTGACCATTGTTGTAGTATTTTATCTAACATTAACAGTAACATTTTCTGTAGAAGTAATTTAATTTATCTTTGTTTAATTTAACGATATATTCAACAGCTCAAATAAAAATGCGTCAAAAATAGGATTAGTAAATAATGAATTAAAAAGTATGTGAAAGAAGAGACTGTGTCCGAATTTAATATAAACTGTCCAGGAGGGAATGAGGAAAATCACGAAGATGTCAATCAGTGTAACCAGTCTTTGTACCAAGGTATTAACACGGAATCGCCTAATTACGAATCATAAGTACTAAACATTCGACCTTTCAATGAGAAGTGTTAAACATTGAAATAATGTTACGTATGTGCCCCCGAAATAGTGTTTGTTTAAAATATTTAATAATATGCCGTATTTCATTTACAGGTAATACGAAAGGCGAGCCGTGGAAAGAAAACTGAATGGTGTAAAATCAGCACAGAAGTTGCACTATGGAATTATGGGTAAGTAGCTTTTTATTGTTTTCCGAAGAAAATTTCCTATTCGTAATATTTGTAGTTTCTTTTCTCGTTACGTTCACCCAGAATGTTAACACACGATGTTTCGGGAGTTGGCTTTATTCCCATCTTCAGGTGACTGGTCATTATTTGTAGCTACGGTCATGATGGTTTGCCTAGAGCGTTGGTTATATATCGTCGGATTGGGTGACTGTGAGAGTGAATTGGAAAGTAAATATAACAAAACCATTGTGGTCTAATGCAAGATTTTATCCCAAAATTTGTATTAAATTGTGGAAGAAAACAACGAAGAAACTTATGGGATAACCGATCTCACGACAGATTCAAACCGGTATTTCCCGAATACGAAGCAGATTCACTAAACAGTCGTCATTTTACTGCTCTAATGGAGCAGAAAAAGGACGAAAGTAGCGACCGAATTGTTAGCATTAAGAAGATCCCTGGTTCAAATGTCTGTTCATTTACGTACGAGGTGCGATCAGAAAGTTTCCAGACTGTGTCAATAGAGGGCGAACCGGATGTAGTACGAGCTTCTGCCGCTAGGGGGTGCGGCCTACATTCATAGTGAATCAGTGTGCCAGCCGGCATCATCGAATTAGCATTTGTTTCTTAGTTACGGGCGTTTTGGTAGTGCATTACACCGACCCTCCTGCGATTTCGGAATGGCGGGTGCATCAAATTTTGCCAAAGACTCGCCAAAACGGCTAAGGAAACCTATGAAATGCTAAAGCAAACATTTGGGGAGTCCGCAAACTTTTGTGTGGCATTCACGTTTTAAAAATGGCCGAACCTCTGGCG